ATGTTGGATTCCCTAGAGCTAGTTACAGGCAGTTGTCAGCTATCCTGATGGGGGCACTGAGAATTGAATGTGGGTTCGCTGCATTAGCAGCAAACACTCTCAACCAATGGATCATCTCTCCAGGTCAAAAACTATGGCTTATGGTTTTACTTTGCACTTGTTACTTTCTTGTTTGAGACAGGGTCTCGCTGTGTAACTCTGAGTGTCCTGGAACTATGTAGACCAGTGTGCCCTTAAACTCACAGATCTCCCTGTCTCTGCCTCCTAAATTCTGGGAGTTAAGGTGTAAGTTATCACCCTTTTCCCATTTTCAACCTGGCTTTTTCTCTAATGAATTTCATAATATGGCTAGCTTTGTCTATGTAAATGACATTTGAAAGCTTGTCTTCTGAATGTTCTGTTGGTTTTATTTTTCTTGCAGATTTGTCATGTGGATATGAGAATAATTCAGTATCAGGAAACATAAAGCCTTGGGGATATTTCGCATAGATTCTTAGCACCACAAATCTTAGACCTCAGTCTTTAATCCAGTGACTCAGCATGGGAAATATAAATGAAAAGAATTTAAAAGGAAAAAAAACCACATGCAATAGTCATAATATTAATAAGCTGAAAATCAGCATAAAATTTTATGTTTAATTTGGCATATATAATTGTCTTTCTTTATCTATGAAGCACTCTCATCCAATGACAAACAATGAGAATCTGCAAAAACCAACATTTTTTTCATTAGATTTTGGCAGTTTGTTTTGTTTTGTAAGACAAATTAACATGTATCTCTATCTGGTCTCAAAATCATTTTATCTCCAAGGTTAACCTTGAACTCCTGATCCTCTTTCTGTCACTGAACACTCTTTTTATTATATTTTCCACTAGGTATTCTTTAGTGTATGTGTATATATGTGCTTCTGGCATTTTTCCTTTGTACAGCATAATTAATAAATAATCTTAATTTGAAACATGATTGAAACTGAAAAACATTTCATTCAATTTCAAAACATCACTGTTAAATTCTGTAACTATTAATTCAAATATGTACTTGTAAGGTTTTTAGAGTCGCTAAAATCTGAAACATAAATTATATCCTATCTTTATATGGAGCACAAAAAGTTGTAATTCTGAGGCTGAAGAGAAAGCTTAGCAGTTAAGAGCACTTGCTGCTCTTGTAGAAGACTCCAGTTTGGTTCCCGGTACCCATGTCTTATGGTTAACAACTATCTGTTACTCCAGATTCAGAGTATGTGGTCCCCTCTTCTTTACTCTGTGGGTACCCACATGCATGTACATGCATAAATACAAGTATAAAATATTTCTTTTCAAGCCTCTAATTTATTGCTGATTAGAACATAAACTTGCAGCCAATTTGAAAAACACTTTGATATTTCCTTGTAGGCTGAACATAGTTTTATTGTATGACTTAACAGTGATAATGTTCAGTACTTATGTAAACATCTATGTAAATACATGGCCATTTGCAGCAGTTATACTCATAACTGCACTGAATAGAACGTAACACAGAATACCTTGGGTAGGTGAGTGGGTAAACAAAACATACTATATTTTTGATGTATAATATTAATAATTAAAATGAGCAATTAAGTCATTAAACAAAACAGTGGCACCAAAATGTGCATTACTCAGGAAAGAAGAAAATCTGAAAGGCTCCATATTGTATGAAAATCAGCATGGTATAAAAACAGAGGAGGATGCATAGGTATACTCCAGGCAATGTAGGGGTAGTGAAACTAGGTGACTTCATGCTATTAGCTGTATAAATTTGTCAAAAGACATAGAAATATATACCACAAAATGAATCCTAATGCATACCATTGAATTTAGCTATAGATTATGTATAAAAGTTTGCTCATAACCTGTTTCAAATATACCACTTTAATACCAGGTATTATAGTATGGGAAACCATGTGGAAGTCATTGGAGGAAAACAGTAAATAAAAGCTACTTTTACTCGAATTACTCTATTTGAGAACAGTTAGTGACAAAGATTAGATATACTGAAGCTATATTAAATCATCTCACATATATTACAATGATAAGTACAATGAAATTAGCATGTCAATTCCTACAATTCAAGTTCTTTAGAAGTTTCTGTTTTAACAAAATATCTCTCCAACAGCCCACTGTCATCTCACATGCCCTTCTACTTCGTAATATCATATCTTCCTACTCTGGTTCTAAGTTCAAATTTTTAGATTTCATATGCAAATGAGATTGTACAGTATTTGCCATGGCTTATTTCACTTAGCATTATTTTCTATTTGGGTTCTGATAGTTTTTAAATTTTATATTTCATCTTATACATATATGCATAACTATTTATATATATACTAAATACACATATGCAATGTATATGCATACACAGTGCATGTACATACACAATGAAAATAACAGTATTCTACTTAGCTTCAGCTATCAATATGACACAATTCAGAATTCAGGTAGTGTCAATTTCAGGATTTCCTTGATCAAATTAGTTGGCCTGTGAGCATGTCTGTAGAGCATTTTTAAATTGCTAATTGATACAGTAGGGCCCATCCCACTGTGGGTGGTACTACTCTGAGGCAGGAGACCCCGAGCTGTATAAGAAAGCAACCTAGCTGAGTAAATAATAGACGGAGGCATTAAACAATGTTCCCCCAAAGTATCAGTTCCAGGTTTATACCTCTGGGCTCCTACCTTGAGTTTTCACTTTGACTTTTCTCAATGATTTACTGTAACCAGTAAGATGCAAAAAAGCCCTTCCTTCAAGTTGCCTTTGGTCTTGGTGTTTATCATAGCAACAGAAAGCAAATTTGATCATGTGGGCAACAACTTCTTTGCAGTACAAAACTTCCTATATCATGACCTGTTTTACCTTTTCACTATTGTAAATAATGCTATATTAAATGTGAGAGTGTTAGTATCTTCAATATATGAACCATATTAAAATATATTGCTTGTTTTATTTATCCATTTTGTGTGCATCTGTTGGAATGGAAGCGTGTGTACCATGACATTGTGAAAGTCAGAGTACCTCCTTCCATTATTTGAGTCCTGGGGATATAACTCGGTTTTTAGGCTTGTCAGGCACTTTTACCCACTAAGTTCTATCATTGCCCCTGACAATATTTTTAAAATATATACTTCCAAGACGAGTATTAGTAATGATAGTTCTACTTTGCAGCAACTGTGACGTTTTCTGTAGAACCTGTACTGATTTGCATTCCCACCAACACTGTATTAATGTATTATCCCTTATTCTCCATGTACTTGCTAATACCTGCTATTTTGTCTTTTCATTATAGTCATTCTAACATGTCTAAGATTTATGGTGGTTTTGATTTACATATATTTGGTGATTACTGATTTTAAATATCTTTTCATATATCGTTTGATCCTTTGTATGTTTTTGTTGGAAAGATATGTACTCAAGTTATTTGTCCATTTATAAATTACCTTAGAACATAATCTAGAAGTAAATATTCATGTACATGGTGCTCTAGTTTGCTTTTTGTTCCTCTGCTAAATCAACTTGAGAGAGGAAAGGGAAGCCACCATGTACAGTAAACTGGGTCCTTCCATATCTATCTGAAGACCTGACAGTTACAAAATATCTCTACAAGCACAATTATTCAACAACCCAGGAATAAATTGGATGGCCATCCCATTCAAAAAACTTTCTTCTCAGAATTTCTACTTGATTATATGCATTAGAAACACTTTCATTATTACTCCCTCTTTTCATGTTACCTTAAGGCATAAATTGCTGACATCGTGTTAGTGATATCACAGGTTCAGACGCTCAAAATTTCTCTAGGGAGAAATTGATAAGCACTTTCAAATGAAAAATTAGTTGTATCCAAGGGAGTCTCACTGGGGAAACAAATGACTCTTAATGGAAGGTTGTATGCTCAGCAATAGATGGCCAACAGAAAATGAACTCAGTGGCATGTTTGGAGCTCCCTTGTCTCATGTTTTGTAAGTGCTCTTCTGTATTTTATTTTTACTTGTAATTTATATATTTTTCTTCTTTATTTTACTTTCTAGGTAAGACCTTTGTACATATATTATGATTTTCAGGTAGTGTTTTTATGGAATTACTGAGTATACAAACAAGTGAGTCTCTGAGTGTGTCACCTCTTGGGATATTTCCCTTCTGTTTGTTTTGCTCAATTCTGATGTATTGGATTTTTTATCATATTATAATCCTATAGAAGTCTGGTCATTTTCTTGTTGTTTTTTGTTTCATTAGTCTCTTATATATTATATATTGACGCAACTGCAGTTTCCCCTCCCTCCTCTTCTAGTCCTTCCCCACTCACTACTTTCTTTTTACCCCAGATTCACTCCTCCTCTTTCCTTTCCAAAAAGGTGTAGGCCTTCTAAGGATATCAACTGAACCCTTTTCTGTTGAAAGACAGAAAGGGAGTGGATCTGAATGGGAGGCGAGTTGGGGAGGAGCTGGGGGAGGTAAATGGAGGGGAACTGTAATCAGGATATGTTGAATTAGAAAAGAATTTATTTTCAATAAAAGGAAAACAAATTCTATGAGAGTCTGGTTTTTTCAACTTAGCATCCCAATACTGATACAAGTCCTAACAAAGAACACACGCTCATGGAGTCTTTAGTCAGCCAAGTGTAGCATTACATATATATAAATAATCCCAATACATGGGATGGGAGTATCAGAAGTTCAAGCCCAGTCAGAGGTACATGGCAAGTTCTAGTCCAATCTGGACTACATGAGACACTGTCACAAAAATAAAACAAGGGTACAGAAATGTTCAGTGAATGACAGTCAATAAATTAAATCTAATTAGTAAACGTTTAATGTCTTCTATTTTCTTACAACAGCCAAGGAGAAAGTTTTCAAACATTTAATACTATCAAAGAGAACAAAACCAACTACAGAAAACAAGGCTTACTCATGTTTTAAATTCTAACCCTTTACTGTATTTACTGTGGGTTTCTTCAATGTTTTCCAGAAAATTCTTATTGTGCTGCTATATTTTTTTTCTGGAAAATAAATCATTTTCAAACTTGGGCAGGGGAGGAAACCATTGATCTATCACCATGGAAAATGCACTAGCTTTGGCAGGAGTGTCACAGCTGACTTTACGGTTGCTTGGATTCTTCTCTTGCTCCTCTTTTAAAGCCTCTTCATAAAGATCTGTGAAGAAACTAGGGGAGACTTTATTGATCTTGGCTACAAACTTTAGGACAGTCATCTTGTTGGTTTCAGCATAGGCTTTTGGACCCCAACGGAACTCATAGAGCGGAGGATCACTGTTGGCCACCTGCTGGTATTCCAAGTACTTCAGCTTCACAAAATATTCAGTAATGAGCTTCCGGGGCTCTCCATAAATTTGGTGCTTCTTACCCGGATACACACCCATAGATCTCAGCATTCTCCAGATATCTTCTTCACGGGCACAGTTGCCACTCATGAAGATCATACCTAGGACAGTCATCAGGAAACCAGTCTTGGGTAAGCCCTTGCCAGCACGAACCCTCCCATTGTTGGGGAGATTCAGCTTGCTGATAAGATCATACACTGGCCCACTTGATTCAACTTCCCTCAGTTCAACTGCAAAGACATCTGTGAGCCTCTCAGCAGTTTTCGTGAGGATCTCACGGAAGCTGTTGATTTCCTGCTCACCAATAACCTGCATCATATCTTTCATTGTAGTAAGCTGCTTCATTCTGTAATTTTCAAGAAGGATCTGCAATAGCACAAAGACCTTTCCAGCTAGAATATCTTGGTGGACATTGATGGAGTGGTGAACTCCAAAAAGGTTTTCCTCAACATCTAGATCATCAGTGGAACTTTGATCTGATAAAATGAAAGAAAGGACATCAGCAATTATGACAGCAACTGATTCGTTATCTGGCATTGCAGAGGCTCCACCTGATTCAGGAGAGGACTCTTCTGTTGCCTCAGTTGTTTGCTGTGTACTTTCAGAAGCCTGAGCATCATTTCGAGCTCTGTGACGTCTCCCATGGTTATTTTGCTTACTCTTCTGACCTCGAGGCATGATGATTAAGGACAACACAGCAAAGATAACAGCAGGATTCTGGAGATTGAAATACCTACTGGAGACAGAAGAATGTGATATGAGCCACTTTATCAGGAGGAGGCCTCCTTGTGTGTAATTCTCCCTCTATAGTTTTCTATGAAAATACTGTTCTAGGAACATAGGAGACTTCTGTTATAATTAAGTCACACTCAGTGGAGTAAGAGAAAGTACATATTGGGCTGTTGCTTGGGCAGTGACAAAGCTTATCAGCCTATCATTCTTATGAGGAATACTAAAACTCAGACTATTGCTTTTTGGAACCTTTCTGTCATGGGTTGCTTAGGTAAGGATTTCTCTCTCATCAAGTGTGCTTACACATTCTTCCCATAGTTCCTGATATACCTTGTTTCTGCTCAATAGCAGCTCTACTTTCACACTGAAGGTGTACGCTCCTTTATGTTTAATACAAAGGGCTGGCGTTGGTGATTCTATTGAAGAATGAGGATCACAAGTTCAAAATCTGTCTGGGATACAGATTTAGTGTAGTGGTTATTCTATTTGATCTTAATAATAAAAACCTGAAGTCAGATATTGGGGTAAATGCAGAAAGATCAGAGTGGGTAAGATCTTGTCTCTAGGAATCCTCAGACTGAATGTGATCCTGTCTCTAGGAACCCTCAGACTGAGTGGAATAAACTCCTGTCTTCTCCATCCTTTATAATCCCCTCTCCACTAAGCCACATCATTCCTGTCTCCACCTCCCTAGTGCAGGGAATTAAAAGTGTGAACCACTACCACCCAGATCTGTTTCTCTTTTTGACTGGATCAATCTTGTATAACCCACAGTGGCCTTGAACTCACAGAGATCTGCCTGCCCCTGCCTCCCTAGTGCTGGGATTAAAGGTGTGTGCTGCTACTGCCTGGCCTTTATAGCTAACTAGCAGCTAGCTACACACTCTGATCTCCAGAAAAGTTTTATTTTTTAAAACACAAACAAAATATCACAATTTAGTTCAAGGGCAACCTGGCCAACTTAGTGATCCTTTATCTCAAAATAAAAATGTAAACAAAGGACACAGGATAGCCCTCAAGGTATAGAGTGCTTCTTAGCATGCAATACCACAATACAAAGCTAAAAGCAAAACAAAAAACATCTTATAACTTCATATAATGGACAAGCACCCTTATCCTGAAAAGATCCATCCTGGACTTACAAATATTGAATTCGCTGATGATACTTTCTCCTCCCTTTCCCTTGACACATTGAACTTTTATTTTCTAGAAATGCTTTCTTTATGCCAGTCTCTCTTGAGACACTGTAGGAGGAGATGGTTGCCACTTCATTTATCAATTGTTTACCAGTATGGGAGGACTGCTATGGTATACCATATAAACAAGGTTCTTTGGCTCCTAGTAATACCTACAAATCTTCATATAGTGAACTTCATAACCCCACTCAGAAAACCCTTTTTTATTATCATAACGGTCATCCTGCTCATGAGAGGCAATATTTCAGTTGAACCATCACTACTGTATAGACACAGCAGGTTAACAGTAGGGGAGAGTTGGTTCCCTGGGACCTTCCATGGAGTCTTTACATGGATTTCTGTCCTTATCTGACATGCTTATCACACAAAATCCCTCTCATATCCTGGAGAGTGTTCTTGCCACAATTACATCATCATAAGCCATGCTTGGTGCTTCTCAGGGTTGATGACAGAAGTAGGAAGTAATCCATCTGAGTCTTCTGGGATGGGTGCTTCCATCACAACTCATGTAATATTCCTTTATTTCAGTTCTGTGCAGAACATAATACTCCTTTTGCTGAACTAAGTTCCCTGTAATTTTACTGGTAGATACTCATAGACCTAATGTCATCAAATAGGAGCAGAGTACTCATGGTCATTCTAGTGCCATGTTTGGTGTTCTGAGAATGAAAATAGGCTCTTTTTTGTTATCCCTACCTATATTTCTTCTTCACCTTCCTGAGACTATAGAGCCAGTTATCCTATTCTTTTTAGGACATATGAAGACTGAGCACAAAGGTGTGCCTTGTGTAACACTAGGGCTCCCTTCTGTGATTAGTGACAATGGAGAGTAAGGGTGATACTTTTGTGTGTGTGTGTGTGTGTGTGTGTGTGTGTGTGTGTGAGAGAGAGAGAGAGAGAGAGAGAGAGAGAGAGAGAGAGAGCACCTGAGGACACAGACATAGCTTTGTGATTGTGTGGGTGTTGTATCTGAGATGGTATTAAACTGAGAACAAGAATGTGGCTTGTGGTTAACACTGAGGATTTTTAAACTAGCAACTCTGGTACAGAGTATTAGAGTCTCACTTCTCATGTATGAATCAATAGATCAAGGGCCCATCTCTGGGTGGTAGCTCCTTTGAGTTTTGTACTAATGGGTAGGGTAAATGGAGGATAAATGGAATTGGGTGGGGAACTGATGACGGAAAGGATGAGGGAGATGTCACTTGGGAGAAGGATAGTATATAATGAGATAAGGTGATCATAGGGGATGACAGAGGGAGAGTACAGTGGATAATTGGCAAACAAAGAAGTGAGAAGAGAAGCAGGGGAGGATATGAAGAATGAAAGGCAGAGAGAAGAGAAAGGAGGGGTGGGAAAGGAAGAGACAGGAAGGAAACAGATGGAGCATGACAGAAGTGGAAGAGGGCAGGGAGACAAGAGAGGGAAAGAAAGGAAAATGGAAAGAAAAGAGACAGGATGTCTAAGGCAGGAGGAATGAAGTGGAACTAGGAGGGGAGTGAGAGAGAGAGGAAGGCAGAAGACCAAGTGAGGAACAGAAAAGGAAGGAGGGAGAAAAGAGTAATACAAAGTAATGAGGAAAGGCATAGAATCAAGAAATGGTAGGAAAGTAAAGAGGAAGTGGGGCATGATGAGCTGGGAAGACAGGACAGGATGACAAGGGAATTAGTAATGGGAAGAGGAGAGGAAACAGGATGAAAAGAGTGAGGAGGAACCAAAGATGGAAGAGAGGAATGGAGGCAAGGTTGAGGGAAGAGCAAGTGCAAGAGGGGGAGAGAGAATAGGAAACAGGAAGGAGCAGCTGGCAAGAGAGACATAGAGGAAGAGAAAGTACAATGTGACCAGAGCAAGAGGGACAGGGGCAGAGAGAAGAGAGTGATATGGAGAGGGAAAGGCAAGGTGAGGAATGTGGCAGTCAGAAGGAAGTGATATGTAGCAAGAGAAAAGATGGTAGTGAGTATAGAGTAGGAGAGATGGAGGGGAGAAGAGGGAAGTTGAGGAAGCAGGAGGGAGGGAGAGAGGGAGGTAGGGAGGAGGAAAGTATAGGAGGGAAGAGAAAAGGGAGTTGGACGAAAGGGACAGAAAAGGAAGAGGAAGACAGAAGAGGCAAATTGTAGAGGTGAAAATAGGGAAGAGACAGGAGATGAAAGAGAAAAGAGAAGGAGAGAAGGGCTGTAGAGCAATGACGAGAATAGGACAATAGGGAAAGGAGGTAAGAACAGAGAAGAGAGGGAGGAGTGAGAGCAAAGTGAGGGAAGAGGAAAGGAAGCAAGTGAAAAGTTGCAGAAGGGAAGGCAGAAGAGGGAAAAGGAAGAGATGGAGAAAACAAATGAGACAGGAGAGAAGAAAAAGTGGGAGGAAAAGATCGAGAATGGGAAGAGAAGAGTGGGAGAACGGGAAAGGTATGAACAATATGGAAAACTGAAAGGAAGGAGGTGAATGTGAAATATTCCTTTGTACTGTAAATATATGTCACTGTGATTGGTTTAATACAAAAGCTAATTTGCCAACAGTTAGTCAGGATTTGGGGTGTAAAGAAAATGCTAAGAAGGAGGGTTGAGTCACAAGGAGTTGCCAGTCAGAAACAGAGGAAACAGGACACTTACAAAATGAGGTAACAATCCAGGAGCCACATGGCAGCAAGTAAACAAACAGAAATGGGTTAATTAAGTTATAAGAGCTAGATAAAAACAAGTCTAAGTTATTAACTGAGCATTTATAATTAAAAGTAAGTCTGTGTGGTGATTGGGGAGCAGGCTGGTGGGACAGAGGTGACCCAGCAGGCCCAATGAAAAACTCTACCTAGATGGGAAGTTGAGGGTGGGAGAGTAGAGGAAAAAGAGAAGAGAGCAAGGAGGGATGGAAGGGAGAAGAGCAAAACAGAGGATCTGGGAGGAGGGATGGGAGACAAAAGGGAAGAGAGATAGGGTAGTTGGGAAGGGAGAGAGAACAGGTAAGGGAAGGAATAATGAAAAGGAGGAGATGGGGGAAGGGAAGGATAAGGAAGGGAGAGAGGAAGTAAAGAAGGAGGAAAATGGGGAAAGAGGGGGAGGAAAGGGAATGGGTAAAGGGAGGAGGAACAGACTGTAAGGAAAGGAGGGTGAATAGAGAAGGATAAGAGGAGATAGAAGTTGGAAGAGATGAGGGAAGGAAAGGGAAGGGGAACGGAAGAGAAAGCAGGGAGAATTGGAAAGTTAGGAGAATGAGAAAGACGGAAAGGAAGGAGAGGTAGTAAGGAGGGGAGAGAGGAAGAAATAAGAGTAGGAAGGGAGGAGGAGAGGAGGGAGGAGGGAATGGAGGGAGGAAGAAGGGTTAGAAAGGAAAACAGAATAATCGTGGGGGTGCATAGTGGGAGAAAGAGGCAAGGAAGATGAGAGGTGGAAGGAAAAGGTGAGGCAGGAGAGACCAGGAAGGGGGAGTGGACAGGAATGTGGAGAAAGGGGTGGATCTGGCAACAGGTGGAGTTTGTTAGAAGGAAAGTTCTGGGGTGACAAAGGAAGATGAAGACAGGACATGAAAATTGAATGGGCATGGAGAAACAGTGTGTGTAACAGAGGAAAGGACAAGGAAGAGATGGAGAGAGGAGGGGTCAGGGGCACTTGACATGATTAGGAAGATGGAGGTATATCTTCTCTCCCCAGGTTTTTCTATATAAGCAATAGTGGTACCACCATCTCAGAGGAGGATCTCTTCTTAGGTAAGCACAATGCCTGGGGTGGGGGTGAGGGTGGGGCTGGGGAGGAACAAATAGGGTTTCTTTCTTTCTCTCTCTCTGTCTGCCTCTCAAGTTTTCAAGGCTGGG